GTTTGTGGTTGGGGGTTGCGATGTTTTCTGGCTTCTGGTCTCCCCCGGGAAGTTGGGCTGTGTTTTGCTCCTGGGATTTTGCAGAGCTTAAGTTTTACAGGAAGAGGTCACTCGACTCCTGAGGCGAAGCACAATGCGCGGGGAACGGGGCGGAGGGGCGGGGAATGAGCTGTGGGAAAAAAGTTTGGGGGCCGTCCTGGTATCTGGAAAGAGTTTTTGGTGTGACTGCGCTGTCTTGGGAAACCCAAACTGAGAACACAGGCACTCTGGCGGTTCTCGGGTCCCGGAGGTCCCGCTGCTCCACGGACTGACGCCCCAAACTGCCAGTAAGGGGCCTGCGGGGGGAAGCGCGCGTCCCGACCTCCCACCCGCATGGCGCCGCGTGGCCAGTGCCGGGCTGGAGGCCGCCTCCCCAGCCTCGCGTTGTCCCCGCGGCTTCCTGAGGGGGAGCTGCTGACCAGTGGGCTCTAACGGGGCTGCTTTTCGCCCCCACTCCCTCCTCGGGGGAACCGGGAGCCGTTTAATCGTATTTAAAAGGGACGTGGGCACCACCCCCCTCCCCCCAATCCCCGGCCAGCCCAGGGCTCCCCGGAGACCGCTAGCAACCCCCCTGCCCAGAGGTCAGGGAGCGAGAAGGCGCATCCTGGCGGTGGACGCGCGCGCGTGCACGTGTGTACGTCTGTGTGCGCGCGCGCGCGCGTGTGTAGAGGGCGGTGGGGGGGTTGGGAACGGCTAGTATGAAAAGCTGCACCTTTGCCAGTTGCAGCGCGTCCTTATTTATCAGTTGGTATATCCTGCTTAACAATCCCATTGTTTAAACGAAAATGGAAAGCAGTTGGATATTTTGAAAGTACTTTTACATCTACTGAGGAAACTTAGTGATAGATGATTTTTTAAAAAGTAAACTGTCATCTACCCTGGAATTCAAAACCATCCAGTCCATCTGGACTTAACGTTCTAGGATGTAGCAAAGGAAGAAAAAAATACATATATTTGATAAATGGAGTAGGCAAAAGAAAGATGCTGAATGGTATTTGTGTTATCTTTTCAAGCTGCACTGTCCAATTGGGTGTCTACTAGCCTTACGTGGATATTGAGCGCTTGAAATGTAGTTATTGTGACTGGAATACTGAATTGTTAATTTTCATTAATTTAAATTTTCAAAACTGATTTCAGTTATCAGAAAACGTTTAAATATGTTTAGAAAACAACTTGGACAAGAACCTATTTTTTCAACT